AGGACCAACCACTCCACCGCCAGCAGCATCCGCAGGCATCGCCGCCTCCAGCGTTTTCGGGGGGGATGGCTTCACCCTTGGGGGCTCCACACAACATCCAAGCTCCGAGCTGATCCCCGGCAGCGCGAGCAGCCAGGCCGTTACACAAACGTTACACGCTGACCTACTTGCCCAGGATCACCCAAGGTAACCGCTTTCACAAGGAGCCCTGCGCCCAGATCCCCTCTCCTGGCCCATTTAGCCAGCGGGACCGGGGAAACACAAGCTGATGGAAGTCTGCTGGGATGCTAAGTACTGGATTATTAATATTCTGGACAAGTACTTCAATACTGAAATGAGGATTTCTGCTAGCTTTTTATTGCCCTGACAGCATGAGAGCCCTGTGAGAGAGCGCGCAAAATAAAGCGGAAGAAAAGCTCCCAGATGAAGGGGTTTGCAGGGCTGGAAGTCAACATCATAATTTTAAGTTGTTTACTGCAAATACACTCAACCGCCAGCGAAACGCAGCGTGGTTTCCTTTACATCCGAGCTCCAGGAGTTATGTCAGCCAGCAGCCCGCTAGGTGAATAGAAAAGCACAAATAAATGTGACAATCCATTTTATCCAAAGGGAAGGGGCAAAAGATCCTTTAGATAATCCCAACCAAACACAACAGCGTAACCTAGCTGGGATACAAATAAGAGAGAAGATGAACAGCGAGTAAGATAACTTTTTTTTTTTTAAAACTTCCCCCCTCCTTTACAAAGCAAGGCACCTGGAAATTGTAGAACAATTTAAAAAAGAGACTCCTAGGCACCCAGAGATTTTTACAACACACTAAACGAGCTGTTTTAGCTTACAGCAAGATTGTTCTGCAGCAAAGCCTGTCATGTAACTCACCGGCAGCAAATTAGGCCCCTATTAAATCGTGTTTGTGGTGATTTTTCAAGGGGAGGAGAATGGAGAGGGAAAAGAGGCGAAGCAGAAAACAAAGTCCACAAGTACTTACATCCACAGAGCACTCAAAAATGGTGTCATCCAGCAAGACGACTTTGCAGTACATGTTTCTGTGCCTTTTTACTGCTTTCTGGGCAGCTTTCAAATCCTTCTCCGCTTTGGTCTCCGGCGTCTCTTGTTTCGGCTCTGGCTTGGCGTGCTCCTCCTTGGCTTCCTCGCCTTCCTTCTCCCCGAGGTCTTTGCTCTCCGGCTCCTGGTCCTCCCTCCTCTCCTCCTGTGCAGGCTGAAACCCCCACATCGCCCAAGTTGCAATTTTAGATGTGTCAAGCAAAGGAAGAAAAATAAAAATCCCCATCCCATGAGACTGTAGGGCTGGGATCTCACCCCAGAATTAGTTATCGAACTTAAACGTGCAACCCGGGACCTGGAGCAGCAGCTCGGGTCAGGAAAGTAACGATGTTCATTTTTAAAGCCCTTTGAGTTGTTCTCGAGGCTTCATTTAATAAAAAATTAAGGAAAGGGTTGATTAGAGGAATCAGGGCAGATTGCATCAAGCAGATCTTCATGGTCTTAACAACAGCACCCTTTGGGCTGGTGAGTTTTTCCCTCCTGGGTCAGGCACCCACTTGCCACCCTGGGTGCCGCACTGGCCCCCGGTACAACCACAGTGGCATTAAAGGAGGGGGTCAGCACTGAGTTTTCTTGCTCAGTTGTTTACTGAAACGCTTTTCGAGCCAGTTTAGCTCACGAAAATAGCAGAAAGAAATGCAGTTTGGGGACAGGAGGAGGAAGGAAGCCGGATTTTTCGTTGGGTTGGGTTTTTCCCTCCCCTCCGCTGCCATTTCAGCAGGTTAAACGAGTTCACGGCTCGCTCCGACAACTGCTGGAAGTGGCTCGGCGCAGCCGGAGCGCGCAGCCGCGGCAGAGGAAGAGCCAAAACCCTGTCTTGTCAGCCCATCGCATCTCATGAAATCACACCCAGGCACAATCCACACGGAGGTATTTAAAAACTAAATAATGTCCACAAGCTGCTGACTTCTGTTCCAGCAGGGCCGGGACAATCGGGAGCAGGGAATCAGTCAAAGCTCGTAATGCCCGTGGGTCAGCATTTATCAAACAGGCAGCACCCTCGCGAATGCTTGCGCAGCAGAAATATCTGCCGAGTGTCACAGTTCAAAAAGCCACTGACGTTGACCTAAAATAAGAACTAGGGGGGGGAAAAAAAAAGGGAAAAAAAAAGGCACGAACGCTTCGTCTGAAACAAGCAGACCCTGGTGAAGGAAGGCTGAGGGTCCACGCTCACACGCGCTCAGAAGCAGAAAATCGAAGTTCAACAGAGACACAAATCATGCATTTGTCCTTGAAGACGCAATTTCTGGGCTGAAATTGCATGAAAAATTACCAGCCTCTTGCCTTCCTGCTAATCCCAAGCCTCAGAGCTAAAAAATCACGAGCAGGGGTCATCCCGTGATTCTCCCAGGCTCAGAAATTTGAGAGAAGACAAAGGTGTCACCTACCTTCTCTGTAACGTTGTCACTTGAAGGATTTACAATTACTGCCTGCAGTTGGCAAAGCTCTAACATTAAGAATTGCTCCAAAAGCTGTAAGTAACACCTCTCTGGAGCCCACTCAAAATTTAGGGCAGTAGGGTAAGGAATTCAGGTTTTACCACGAACGCTCAATGACTCCAGCAACACACACAGAGGAACGAATCCTCACCCTGGGGACCAGTGAGAGAGGGCATCCGACACCCCGAACCAACCACCAACTGCACCTTTGTGAATGTCTCCCCATGGACGTCTCTGCTTCTGCTCTTAAAACTTAAAATTTTGCATGAAAAATGACCTTGGTTGTAAAGAGGAGACATCAGACGGCTACATGGGGCTGGGCTCAGCCCACGTGCTGTGCAGAAATCCCTGTCTACACGAGGCATAAGCAGAAAATATCTGTATTTGGCAGGCTCAGCACCAGCCCGGACCGAGCAGATGACCAGGTCGTGAAACGCCACGCTCGCACTCCTTGAAGCTGAAGGAATCCTCTTCCCAAATCCACGTCCTCTTGCAATCTCCACCCGAGGCCACTTACCCACCTTTTCACCCTGCACACACCGAGGACATCCCCAGGGGCAACCGCTCTGTCACGAATTATGGATTTGAACCCCGGTTCTGCTGTGGCTCCCCACGGCACAGCAGAGCAAAGAGCCACCACAGGGCGTTTTAAGCGATGCCCTGATGTGTGAGCACAATTTTGGGAGCAGGTACTTCACAGACCGGTTTGATACAGGAATGCAAGCGGGGGAAGGACACGATGCACACAGGGGGCTGACAAGAGCCCTTTTAGCATCTCCCGAGTTTTTCTGATCAAGTTTAACACGCCAGGGCACGAAGCTTGTCAAGTTTTGGCTAAAAAAAGACACGTTTTCAAGGCCAGAGGGGAGCACTGCACACAGAGCAGGGTTTTTACCTGTGTCTCCGCGCTGCTTAAGGAATGGAGATCCAGCGACGGATCGGTTTTGAGCTCAGGCTCAGGAGCTGCAATCGGGGCTTTCACCAGGATGTCTTCATCGGGGCTGGCTCCTAAGCCTGGCTCCTTCTGGTCTCCTCCCGCCTCTTTAGGAGCATCACTGTCTTTGTCCTCTTCGGACACCTGAGACTTGGGCCTCCTGAGAAAGGACGAGAAGAGGCGGGAGAGACCCCGGCCCTCGGAGGTACGTCGCTCCTTCTTGCTCTGCTCCTCGTGCGTGGGCGTATCGCCGTTGGAGGCCTTCTGCTTCTGCCCCGCCACGGGCTGTCCCTCCGACGGCTGCCGGGCCCCTTCCTCCAGGGAAGCCTCTTGCTTTTGTGTTTCAGCAGCTCCTTCCTCCTCCTTGGTTTGCTGCTGCTCCGAGCTGTCGGCTTCTGCCGCTAAACTCTTCTCTGTTGTCATGATGGTGCTGGAAGAGAGGTGGGAAAGGTCTCAATCAAGAGCGTTCCAACACTCAAGCCCGCGTTGAAGCTACTGAAGCACAGACACGCTACATTCACCAGCCACACCACCCCGTCTGCCAGCTCCAGCCTACAAACTCATCGAGAGGAAAATCAGTCATTTTGCTAAGGTTTGCTTGGATAGAAACAGCTCTATCGACGTTTGCCCATGCTCCTTCCACCATTTGGACAGCGCCAACTCCAAACCGCCGGCACAGGTCTGCAGCCTGACAAGAGCGAATGATGCAAACACGGAACCGAGATTAGGGAAAGGGGAGGAGGCGGCACAGGGGCGTGCTCCTTCTCCTCCTCCAAGACCCTGCTCCCCTCTGGCAGCGGGAGCAGAGCAGACGAGAACCACCAAACCGTTCAGGGTTGGAAAAGACCTTTAAGGTCATCAAGCCCAAACGTACGAGGACGTGACCCGGCAACCTTCCTCCTACCGCCCCATGCCAAAAGCCCAGGTGGGCTGCGACGGCTCGTGGCATCACCACATCCCTCTCCGCCACCACAACCGGAGGGAGAAACCTGCCCAAGAGTCAAAAATCGCACGGCCACAAATGTGAACAGCCGCTCGCTTCTAAATAGCCCTGCAAGAGGCCACAGATCCTCACCGTGAACTCAAAAAGGGGTCAAGGTTATCTAAAGATGAGGAACCACACTGCTGCTCTGCCCGGGACTCATCAGTGTCCATCAGCCACGTCGATCTGCGCAAGGCAGGGCTGGTGGAGCCGAGCAGGCTTCGGGATTCGCGAGGTCTTTGCAAACGCACCCTGGAAAAATGTGAAATGAAAAGGCTTCCAAACAATCTCCGTAACGGAGAGCAGATTTCTTCAGAGCCTGCCCTATTAAGCTGATGCAATGTTTATTTCAACTTTAGCCTGGGCTGTTGACACAAAAAGATGGAAATCACATGAGAAGAATATCTATTTAAGGTATAAAGAGGACCAAAATAATCATGCTTTAGAGAGGATAGAACTAATCTTTGTGCGTTGCATCACATGCAGCTGCAGCAATAAATTGCCACTGCTTACCCAGAGCAAATAGCATATAATCCAATATGCCTTTCAATCCCCCGGCCCAAGCCTCGGCGTACAAACAGTTGCTCAAAATACATACGTAAAACCAAGAAACATTTCGAGATTTCACCCTCCTACATATTATTGCATTCAACAATTTTAATTTAACTCATCCCCACTGCCAAAACAACCAGAGTGCTTGGAAGAGGAAAGTCCTCCCAGCTCTTCCCTCGCGTTTAATGCGAAAGCTTAACGTTGCTCCTAATGCTGTGGGTTAAAATGAAGCAGCGTTAGAGACGTTCCGTGAACTTTCTCCAGCAATGCAAATTTTTTCGAGGTTTGGTTTAGTTTGGGGTTTGTTTTGTTGTTGTTGCTTGGGGGTTTTTTTTGCAAGGAAGGCTTTTGGGAAAGCAGGGATGAGACCCCACAGGGTCTGTGCTCCCCTCAGAGCGGTGTCAGGCTTGGGACAGGCTCCCTGACCTCTTTTCACTTGGACGTAGCCCCACCAGCCAGCTTTGGAGATGGGCTGCAGGGCTCCTTTTAGCCCGGTCTCCTACCGAAGCCAGGTTTGCCCTACACACCATCTCCTCATCAGCTGCTCTGGGTTTCCCCAAATCCAATTTCTGGGTTTCTCCAGACCCGATTTCTGGGTTTCTCCAAACCCGATTTCTGGGTTTCTCCAGACCCGATTTCTGGGTTTCTCCAGACCCGATTTCTGGGTTTCTCCAAACCTGATTTCTGGGTTTCTCCAGACCCGATTTCTGGGTCTCTCCAGACCCGATTTCTGGGTTTCTCCAAACCTGATTTCTGGGTTTCTCCAGACCCGATTTCTGGGTCTCTCCAGACCCGATTTCTGGGTTTCTCAAGACCTGATCTCTGGGTTTCTCCAGACCTGATCTCTGGGTTTCTCCAGACCTGATCTCTGGGTTTCTCCAGACCTGATCTCTGGGTTTCTCCGAGCCTGCACTGGCACCTGGTGCACCAAAGACATCTCAAGGCCCCGTGCCAAGCAGACGCAGAGGTCAACAGTTGGGCTCGATGTTCTTAAAGGTCTTTTCCAACCTAAACAATTCTTGATTCTATGTGCAGATAACCACACTGCGTTGGTTCTCCTCCCCCAGCGCTTTGCTCAGAAGAACGGGACAGCTTGCCATAGCACAACCAAGGCAGCAAGAGCACCTGAGGGCAATTCTCCAAAACGCTGTTGAGTTGGGCATTATGTCACTTCCCCAGAAGTCACATAATCACAGAATGGTTTGGTTTGGAAAGGACCTGAAAGATTGGAGCAGGTTGCTCCAAGCCCCATCCAACCTGGCCTTGAGCACTTCCAGGGAACTGGAACACAACTGATGGATCTTTCAAGGTCCCTTCCAATCCTTCTGGGATTCTGTGAGAAATACTTCTTCTGGCAGGAGTTTGCTTTTGCAGGATTATCACAGAACAGGCTCCACGAGAAAGCTGCAAAATCACTGAATCATTCAAGTTGGAAAAGACCTTTAAGATCATCGAGTCCAACAGTTAACCTGGCCTACCAAATTCAAGTTAAAGGAAATCAGGTCTACCAAATTCAAGTTAAAGGAAAGGCTGTGGGAGATATGGGCAGCACCCAGCTGGCTCCCACCACCCCAACATCCCCGCAGAAACATCAGCCAGGAGGGAAAGCAAGTCCAACTCAACCACCCATGAGACACGAGAGCTCTTAGACCGAGGATTTGCCACCCACTGAGCACACGCCATAGAGCGAATATCAAACCGGCAGGGGGAGGGATGGCTGCCAGCTCGCCGGGCCAGAATTGAGGTTACTACTGGTTTAAACTGAGGTTACTACTGGTTTAAACTGAGGTTACCAATGGTTTAAACTGAGGTTACCACTGGCGGAGCAGAGCCGGAGAAGGATCGCAGCGCACGTGGGGTCAGCGGCTGGGTTCAGTGCTGAGGAGGCTGTGAGCTCACGCGGGGGTCACAGGGC